CCTGATCTTTATATGAGTCCTGTCATATCATTAAAAATTTTTTTATATGATGTATAATGATCTTTTTTATCAATTATTTACTAATTTAATTTGAATCCAGTATCAATTTATAAGCAGTCGTCCTACTGAAAAAATTTTCTACAATTATTGATATAGATTGCTAAATTATTTAAAATTGATTTTAATAATCACATATTAAATTTTTACTGAATATTAACTAGGTTTTGAGATTTAAAATAAATACAAAACTATATTTTTAACTTTTGTGATTGGTAAATTATAAGCTTTTAAAAGCAAATAATTTGCTTGCATTTCTTTTAGAAGCTACTATATATAATTCATTATTTATTAATTGATAAATAAAACAATTTTTTGTATTACTTATTTTAAAATAATTTATATTAGATATTTATGAATATTGAAATTTTTTTTAATTTTCTTTTGTAATCCTTTGATGTTTTTTATTAATATTTAAAGGAATAACGAAATTAACATCAAATTTAATTTTCTGATTATATTTTTTGATCATTTTTATTCAAAGATCTAGAAAATGTAAAGGCTGAGTAGATATAGAAGTAGAGTTAGAGGTAGATGTGAAAAAAAAAGTTGTAAAAACAGAAACTAAAAGTTTATTTAAATTTCTATTTTCATAGAATGAAATTATTTTCATTTTTTGTTAATTAGGATGTCAGTCAAAAGTATAAACAATTTGGTAAAGAATTTGCTTTTGTAAAAGCTAAAAAAGATTTGGATTTTTTAATTTGGTAATTGTAATAATATATTTTTAAATTATTAAAAAAATAACAAAAGGTAAGAAATAAATATATAAATCAGTTTTATTTTGCTAAATTGTACTATATAAAAAAATTGTTAAAAAAAGAAATTTAAATACATATTACAGTTTTATCTTACTGTAAATTATATATATATATAAAATAGAATTATATTTTAGGTTTTAGTTATAATAATTTAGTATCAATTAACAATTATCATTTTTTTGTTTTATAAGCAAAAAATAAATAATCAAAAATAACTATACTCAGCTGAAAATAAACTTATCAAATATCGTAAGTATTTCTAAACTGAAAAACTAAAAAGATCTAAATAAAAATAAATAAATAAAACTTACCATAAATAAAATCAATTGAAAAATCGCTGCTGATCTAACTAAAAAAATTAATATTAATAAATTAAAAAATATTATAACAAACCTTACTGAAAATTGCTCAAGATATAAACAGAAAAACTAGAGATTTAAAAAAAAGAAATAATCAACAATCTTATTTACCAAAAGTGACTTAAAGAAAAATTACTTAATGATCTAAAAAATAAAGAATTTAATAATCAATATTAAAAAAAACAAAAAAAAGAAAATTCATTTATTTGAAAGAAGCTTGAACTGAAAACTCACCTAAAGATCTAAAAAGAAAAAATTAGTAATTAATAATAACAAATAAAAAAAGAAATTCTCACTTACCTGAAGTGAAAATCCACCCAAAGATCTAAAAAACAAGTCAATATTAACAAAAAAATAAGACCTATTTACCAAAAAAATGTTAAAGTAAAACCTGCCTAAAGATCTAAAAAATAATCAAAACAAAAAAAAGCAAAATCTTCACTTATCCAAAGTGAAAACCCGCCCAAAGACCTAAAAAATAAAATTCTATTTATCGAATATAGCTTCCAAGTGAAAGATTTGAAAAACAAAATATATTAATAACTAATAAAAGAAAATAAAAAAATAGCAATTCGCTTATCTGAAGTGACTTCAAGTGAAAGATCTAAAAAAAAATAGCAATCTACTTATCTGAAGTGACCATCAAGCGAAAGATCTAAAAAAAACCCATCCAAAGACCTAAAAAACAAAATCCATTTACCGAAGTGGCTTCCAAGCAAAAGATCTAAAATATTAATTATCATAAAAAGAAAATCAAAAAAATTAAATAAAACCCATTTACTTAAAGTGATTAGACCAAACTGTCTAAAACAGCACTAAAAAAAAAAATAAAAACGGAATACAAATAAATAAATAAATAAATTTAATTACCAGAAGTGAAAACAATCCGCTTCAAAATCTGGAAAATAAACAAAAATAAATTAATAATCTATATTAATGACAACAACGCATTAAAAATGAAAAATCTACTTACCGAAAGCGGCCAGAAGTTAAAAACTGCTAAAGATCTAAAATAAGAAGACAAAAATAAAGCATTAGTAATCAATCAAATGAAAAAAATGTAATGAGAACGAAAAAATCAAAAAAAGTGGTCAATCTGAAGCAAAATAAAACTGCCTAACAAGTCTAAAAAAAGAAAATAACAAATCAAAAACCAAATAAATAAATAAATCTACTTACTGAAGCGAAAAACCACTAGGCAAAACTCTGATCTAAAAAATTAATAATAAAAATGAAACAATAATAAAAGCAACAATACTGAAATCTAATTACCCAAAGCGTTCTAAAATGAAAAAGCAACCTAAAAGAAGAAAACTTTAATAATCAAACGAAACATAAATAATAATAATAAAAAACAAAATCCAACTTATCTTAATCGACCTGAAGCGAAAAAGCATCCAGTCGAAAAATTGATTTAAAAAAAAAGAGAAAATTAATAATTAACAAAAATAACTTAATAAAAGTAGCACAAGCCTAAAAAAAATATTTTTAATAATCAAACGAAATACATACAACAATAATGAAAAAACAAAATCCATCTTATCAAAGTGGTTTAAAGCGAAAAACCATCAGGTGAAAAATCAATCTAAAAAAGAAGAATCATAAAAAAAAATAAAATGAAAAAATATCCTAATCCCATTATGCAAAAGCGTTACTGATATTCATTCTCACATTATTAAGTTTCTGCTACTATTTTACTTCTATAATTCTAATCTTACTTTGTTTCTTAAGGAAAAAAAAATATTGCTTTTCCTTAGAAAGTCAATTTTCATTAGTGAACCGTAAACTGCTAGCCAAGCATACTATTTCGAGCTTCAATATTATACTAATAGTCAATTTTATATCTTTTATCTTCATTTATAAACAGAAATGATGCTGGCGATTTTCAAGATAGTCGAGGAACAAGATTTTATTGACAATTGGAATCAGAATCATCATAAAAGCTGGACTGGAATCAACTTTATAATCACCCTGTAAAAAATTTATTCCGTGATTTAAACCCGTGAGTTCCCGTTTATACAACATTCCGTGCTTTTCCTCATAAATGTAGAATATTCATGAAATTTATAATTATAAAATATGACAATCTTGAATTCGTTCTTGAGTATTTTATTATCACCATTTTTGTCTCTCTCATCAGTTCTCGCCTTTTCTTCTATTATCGATTTCACCTTTCCCTTAATTTGTTATCGTTATCTATAGAAATAAATTATAAATATATAAAAAAATAATGACAAACAGTTACATTAAAGATCACGTAGATTAAAACGAAATTCTATACCTTAAATTTGAGCATTGAACATATAAATGATAATAGCGGAAATTATACCAGTATTTAATAAATCTTGATTGGTAGTGATTAATTCCCTTTATCTTTCGTCTCTGTAACTTTCTTGATTAACAGTTATATTTTATAAATTTAAAATAAAATCAACAAAAATTATTAGAAATTTTATACATATTTACCCATGTTTCCCATTATGTTGCAATGCAAGAAAAGATAAAGTAAGTGTATAAACATTAATTGAAATATTATTTTGTGCCATTTTTATAATACTTGAGAAAAAATTAAAGAATGTATGTTAAATAATTTATTGAAGCATAATTATGTGTTTTATAAGTATAGTAAAATTCATAAATGAGTGACAATTATGAGACTGTTCCCAAATAACATAGTAGAGAATAAAACATAGGGGGTGTGACGCGGGGTGATGATTATTTATATAACCACGTGCCCGAGCTTGCATACTTTGGAGTCGAACGTAAAATGTCCTCCGCTATCAGTTTTTAATAATGCACAACTAGAAATAATATTTTATTTTTATAAGTCTTAATTTTGATCTAACGTATTAAATTTCTTTTGTATGATTATATTATGTGAAATATCGATGTTTAATGGAACATGCATTGCATAAAAGATAAAAGTTTTACTCGTAACTTAATCATTTCGTATATATTTTATTCGTGACATTAGCCTAGCCTTGTATTGAGCCGCAGAAACTATCAAAACGATCAGTTTTGCAGATCGATCAATTTTTATTATTAGATTTATTTAGTCAATCACAAGTTTTCGCTTGTCATGTGGGAAATTGACAAAAATGGTAAACATAATTGTTGGTTATAATCTCAAAAAGTATTGCGACACGTTTACATACGTAATAATGAATATATTCTTATCATTATAAAACTAAAGGGGAACTCTATAATTTCAATACACACACTCTCTCTAATTTTTCGTTATAAAACTTTTAAAGTCACAAAAAGTATATTAGAAAATTAAAGGGAAATCTGAAATCTAGTTTCTTCAAACTACTTCTCTTCCTTTCTTCAACATGAATACTTACGAAATAGGCAGACGAAACATCGTTGAAGAATTATTAGATGCAGGATATGAACCAGATTGGACAAGGTGAGTATCTCTGCAAAGTTATTTTACTTGGTGTAAAATGGAGTGGTCACAGTTTCGGCTGTAAATGTTCTGATATCCCTGCACTGGCTTACTCGCCTGAGGGATTCATCGTGAGTGGGAAACGCGAATCACGAATCAAAAGTACAAACATACGCGACTGTGAACGCGCCACTTGATTTTAATTATTATGACACATATGCTTAATATATTTTTATTTTTATTCTTTATTTTTAATACAGAGGTTCCAACGACGGGGGAATAGACGTTAAAGTAGTCGTTGATGGAACGAGCTTTGTTATACAAAGCAAAAATTGGAGAAGTAATTTATGTATGTATTAATCGACTTATGTTTATTTAGTTTGAGTATGAATTAATCAATTTTGTATGATTATAGTTCCCGTGATAGTGAGGGAAATGGATGGGGTGCTCGTTCGACAACCGCCAGGTACGATCGGCGTGATTGTGGCGCCCGATATGAATCGATTTACGGTCGGGACTAGGGAGACAGCAAGGACGTCACCCTTCGAAATAATTTTGACGACTCGAGAGTTCTTGGTTCGTGAGCTGAGAGTAGCTGCCGCTGGTCGGTGGAGAAAATCGCTCATTAGAAGGACTGTTTTACTATTTTTTTTATTTTTAATTTTTAATTTTATTATGTATTTACATTTTCACATTAGAATAGTATTATTATTTGATTCTCAATAAAATGAGCCTGGTGGGTCTATGATATATAATCAATCGCATTTACTTTGCATATATTTGAGAGTTATATTATCGGTCGTAAAACGCGATTATTTTATTCAACAAACGAAACGAATTGATGAAACTTTTTATATAAAAAAGAACTATTTAATAGGCAAGAATTTCAACGGCAGATAGTGGAAATTTAGTGTTCACTTTTCAAGGTACCAAAATATTGAAGGTTAATGGGCTGGCAACGCCTAAAAGCATTTTCTCAATCTTCTCTTTAATGGCGGATACCTCTATTTTGGCAATTATTTATAGGAAGTATCTTTTTTATTGTTGTTGTTGCTTATACTCCTTTAACGATGTCTAGGCGGTACTGAAGAGCCATTGTATAGGATAATGCTCGCTTCCTTTAGTTTCTGTCTGTTGATCGTGTCCCACATTCTTTAGCGGCTTTTGATTAATTATGTGTTAGTAAAAGGATTAGCTTCAAAAGGAGAAGCATTTTCTGGTGGCATCCTTTGTATTAAGTTAATAGCGACGGTTTAGTACTTGGATGTTGACGCTCCCTATGATTTGCCTGTCCATCCTCTTAGAAGTGTTTTGCATTACACGTGAAAGTTTCTTTCGAGTAGTTTGTCTCTTTTTCGCATGCCTATCTTTGAGGAAGCATCATAACCTTTGAGCACCCATTGTTGACACATTAGTGGCTTTTATTTTTATTATTCAGTCCTTGACTAAATAATACTTTGCTCTAACTTCATTTTTCCTTTTATTATATTCTACAGATCCGAAAGGTCAGAGAAAGAGAATACAATCCGAAGCATTACTTGACGTCCAAAGAAAACGCTTCTACTGGATCTTCATGAAACAAAAAATATATATATTCGGTAGGGTGGGATTTTTATGCATTGAGAATTTTTATCATCAATTGAGAAATGATTTTACAAAATATTCTTTGACCTACCTTTTTTATAATAATATTCAATAAATTTAAATTTTGATAATTACGACTAGGGATGGTAACGGTCGGTCATGTTCGGTTCACGGTCGGTCAAAGGCCTTTGAGCGACCGACCGGTTGACCGACCGGTTTTGCTGACCGGCCCATTTAACAATAATATAATTTAAAGTTCTTGATTTATAATTTTAATTTATGCTTTAAATACTAACATGGCATTTGCTAAAACTTACTATTTTACTTACTTTACTTATTTCTTTTAGGCAAACTTGATATGCATATTAAGTTTACTTTCATATTTTTAGTGATGCAGCTTATTGCGATCTTTTTTTAAGTATAAATTAAAACTTTTTATTTATAAAAAATAACATCACTAAAATTATTGTTAATTAAAGCAAAAAATTCTTGGATTACTAATTAAAAAATGTTGGTCAACCGGTCGGTCAAAATCGGTCAAAATCGGTCGGTCAGAAACCTTTGAACGACAGATATCGGTCACGGTTATGGCCGGTCATGACCGTAACCATTAGCATCCCTAATCACGACATACCATGAAAGAACTACTATGACTTTTCGAAACACGAATGAAGGTTTATTTATTTTTGAAGTTGAAAAAAGATTAAAAGTCAATTAACGGTAAATTGGCGTTTCTTATATTATGTACATGAAGATCATATTTATTTTTTAAGTATGACTTTTACATATTAACTATTAAAATTACAACATTTTATCTCCACGAATGTGAACTTGTGATGCATCACGAAGAATTTTCCTTAATACTAAATGAAGAAGTCCTAAACGATATAAAACATTTCTTAATTCGTTGTAAAAAATGAAATTGAAAAGAAAATTTTCATTAAGAAGTGAGTTGTAGACAGCGAATAAACAATAATAAGCTTGCATTAACAAACGTGTTTAACGAAGCCAGGTGAGGACAATTTTGATGAACTTTTTTTAGCAAAATGCCATATACAACGAAGAATTATGAATTTACTGCTTAATACACAAAAAGTTGTTTTAACCGAG